AGGACCCCGGTGAGGGCGAGGACAGGCCTCCAGAGAACGGCCAGGATCGAAGCTGGCCCCCAAACTTGCGAACCCGCCGTCTTCCATCTCCTCCCCCCTCACTATGATTAAGTCGGGCCTGTCCCTCTGCAGGGGGATTTTCGACGAAAAATGAAAAATACCCCCAACATGCACCAAAAAGGTCAAACCATACTCAAAAAATAATCCCCAGACTATCGGTGGACAATTTTTGTTTTTTCATTTTTTTTTTTTTTGTTTTTTTTATTTTTCGTCGAAGGTCCCCCTGTAGGGGGACAGGCCCGACTTAACACTATGAAGTCGAGCCTGGAGAAAAGAAAGAGAGATGCACCCACGAAGTACGAGGTGTGCAGGCCGACGTGCGCCGATATGGAGGGACCGCAAGAGACGGCGGAGGAGAGGAGGGAAGGAGGATACCGCGCAAGAGACGGCGGAGGAGAGGAGGGAAGGAGGATACCAGAAGAAACATCAAAGACCAAACTCCACGCGCGCACGCACAGGTCGTAGACACACAGACACACGTAAGCATGCGCATACATGTACACAAGCACACACCTCTCATGTACAGCTGGCAATCAAAACAACCTGTTAGGATTCGTACTTGGGGCGCGTTTTCGTTGGACTGACGTAAGCTTCGTGGGGTGCTCTGGGATGCCAGGGGGACCAACAGCGTCTGCAGGGAACCTGCGGGCAGGCCGCTTCCTTGACTGGTGTGCCTGCTGGAGAACGAGGGGGAGGGAGGGAGAGAGAGAGAGAGAGAGAACAAAAGAGAGAGAAAGAGAGAGAGAGAGAGAGAACAAAAGAGAGAGAAAGAGAGAGAGAGAGAGACAAGGAGAGCAAGAGTGAGAGAGACTGGAAACGCGCGCGCGCGCACGTGCTCTATCCTCCAAGACGCCGCGCCGACCACGGGCGAACACAGGAGGGAGCGCGCCAACGCGACTGGCAGAGGTGCTCACGACAGGTGCGCTCGAGCAGAGGCCCGTGGGGGGCGGGCAGTCGTACGAGGCTCCCATAGAGGCATGTACAGTCAAAGCGTGTACGGTGAGGGCATCGGATAAGGTACCATTGGATAAGGAACCCAAAGACTTGAAGCCGGTGGAAGCCCAGTCGTGGATTGGCCATGGATCTCGCGGCCGCCTCCATCAGAGAAGGGACCCTCCAGGGTCTGAGGCCTCCTGCGCACCTGCCTTGACCAACGCCCCCCCCGTACCAAGGACGGGTGGCAAGGACGCAGGACCCCTGGAGACCGAAGCTGGCTTTTGGGGGGGGGGGGGCGGCGGGCGACCAGTGGAACCTGCAAAGGGCGGCCCGCAGAGGCAGAGGCAGGAGGGCACCCTGGATGAGGGCGCGCGTCCGTACTGGGCGCGTAGACTGCACTCTCGGAGGATCGTGCGGCCTTCTCGATCGGCGCTGGGCCCCCCCCTTCCCGGCGCGCGGAGGCGCCGCTGGGAGGGCTTGCCCCGCCGATCCGCGAGATTCGCCTGGGCCTCCGAACACGCACATGTCATGTCCGTGTAGCTTTGGGGCTTCCCGCGGGCACAAGGAAACAACACCGAGCGAGTTCCACGCACGCGCGCTGGGCGTCCCCCCTCTCCCTCGGGCGGGGCCTGGGCGAGCAAAAGAAGAGCACCGCAGGAGTGGCACGCACGCGCGCGCACACCTGCGCGCACACGCACGCGTCCTGGGCACATTCCCCGCCCCCCCCCCTTGGTGTACCCCCCAAAGTGTTTTTCCCCGGCTAGTCTACGAAAAGTACGTAGAACGTTTCTGTATATCTACGACCATCGCATTCTTCGCAGAGCCGACGAACAAAACAGTTCGGGGTTTCATCAATCATGCCGCCGATCTCCGACACGAGCAGGTTGCTCTGGCGAATTGTGACTCTTGCGTGTAGCCAGCTCCCTCCCTCGCCTACTTTTCGCTGATCGGATCATAACTCTGGTCTCCGGCGGCCCTCCGGGACGATCCCGGCCCCCCCCCTTGACTCTCTCGGCGAGGCGCAGCTGCTGGAACGCATCCCGAGCCGGAGAGCACCCAAGAACCCGCGACGAGAGCAAGCCGCACGATAAAGCCGCGCGCCAAGAGTCGATCTGGCGGAGGGCCACCCCACCACTCTGCCGAGGGCCCGGCGGCAGCCGAGTGCGAGCCTGGGATCCGGCAGCGAGCCGGTGCAGGCTCGGAGCGGGGCGGGAGCAAGTATACGGGGTGCGGGGGCGGCGCGGCGTGCCGCGCGGGCCGCCGCGCGCGATTCCGCCTCTGACCGGACAGGCCCCTCCCAGAGACACGGTGATGGCATTGGATAAGGGAACCTTCGACTGAGCATGGTCTGGAAGCCAATGGAAAGCCAATCGTGGGTTGACCATGGATAGCACCGCCGCCCTCATCGGATAAGGAACCCTCCAGGGCCTGCAGTCTCACATGGGCGCATTCCTTAACCAACGCCCCAGTGCCGACCAGCCCCTCGAGCTGCGCCAGGACCGGCCAGGCACAGCTGGAGCGTCTCCACTGGAGTCTCTCCAGCCACGGCCTGGCCGTTGCCGAATCGATGGGAAGGCGCCCCCGAGGGCAGGATCGATCGTCTCGGCGGCGAGCGCGGGGGGGTCCTTCTCAGAAGGCCCGGAAGCCCGCCGACCTTCTGAGAAAATTTCTGAGCCTTCCCCGGAGACACGGGAAACTTCGCAGAATGCGCGAGGGCTACTGAGAAGCCCCGCCGCCTTCTGAGAGAGCCATCTCCTCTCGCTCGCCGCCGATCGTCAACATCGAACCGGGAGAACCTGATCGGATCGGAATGTGTCACCTCGGATCGGGCGGCATCGGCACAGGGTCGAGACCGAGTCGGGCTGGCTGCGACAGGAGACACGGCACCGCCCATGCAAGCATCGAGACGGTCCATTCGTGGACGGAACCCTCGACCTCCACCTTCCGCACTTAGCGGACGGCAGACGCCGCGCTGCGGCCGCGGCCAGCGCGGCCGCAGATGCGGCCGCCGTCGAGGCCGCAGCGGCGGTCTCGGCGGTCGCCGCGGCCGCGCCGCGTCGGCACCTGCTGCGCGGAAGGTTCGGAAGATGCAGGTCGAGGGAGAACGACCATGCCCGTGTCTGCGGCCTCGCGGGCTGGGCCCCTGGGCCGCGACCCCGCGGACACGGGGCGTTGGTTCGCGGATGCCCTGCGCGGAACGTATCCGTGCGACCGCATATCTGTGCCCCTGCATCGAGACCGCGAGGGCAGGGATATGGATACGTTCGCCGCTCATGAAGGGCATCAGACACATTGGAACAGCGTGAAACATCACGACTGGAGCTCCTCTCGAGCCGGATCGATCTGTGAGGGTCCCGGGGGCCCGAAACCGGGCGAAAAAACGCCCGGCTCGAAAGCGCTGAGCCGCCAGGAGTCTAGACCCCGAGGGCGTGGATCTATGGATACACGCCCGCCGCTCGTGGCCCCTGCAGGGTGCGGCAGGGAGTGCGCACTCGTGCGGCTACACGCAAGAGTGACCCTGGGTAAGAGCGACCTTTGGTGCGCGCTTTTTTGGGGGGCGCGGGGGGGGACAAGCACAAGTGCAAGACGCCACTGCCGCCTCGCGTTCGGCGATCGGGGGACCCTCGTGGGCCCGCACCAAAGGTCACTCCGGCGAAAGGTCATCGGGTTGATCCAAAAGGGGGTCCAGCGACAGGGGGGTGGTGCAATAGATTTGGTGCAATCGATTTGTGGGGTTGCAATACGTTTGGGGCGCGCATTACATGTCGGGGCGCTGGTGTGTTGCTGCATTTTCGCATGCAATACATTACTTGCAATACGCTGCAATACAATTCTCCGGCGCAATACATCTGCGATACAATTGCCCTCAATCTATTGCACTACCCCTTTTCAGCTGGACCCCCTTTTGGGTCACCCAAACCTCCTTAGACGGCTCGGCCTGAGCCTTCCGAACATTCCAAAGCGCGTCCCACTACTCTTAAGTCGGGCATGTCCCTCTACAGGAGGACTGCTCAAACAGAGTCAGAAAAATAGCCTGGGGACGCTTTATCTATTGTTTTTGGCTATTTTGAACATTTGTTGATTCTTCTTGCGCCTGGTCGACCCGTAGGCTTCGACGGCCCAGAGGGCGGCAGGCTCCGGCCCCCTCCTTCTGGCAGCGGCGTCTTCGCCACCAGCCGCACCGCGGAGCCGAGGCCCCCTTGCAGCATGGCGCCCACGTCCCACCCTGCGCGCGCGGGGGCGGCGTCCCCCCCCCACCGGCGTGTGCCCCCCGCCGCTCGTCCGCTTCGCCCCTGCGCCTCCCCCTCCTTGCTGTCGTCGGCAAGCGTCGACCTGCGATCGTGGCGTTCGCGCCTCCTCCTCCTCCTCCTCCTCCTCCTTTTCCTTCTTCTCCTCCTCCTCCTCCTCTTCCTCCTCCTCCTCCTCCTCCTCCTCCTCATCCGCCTCCTCCTCCTCCTCCTCCTCGTCCTCCTCCTCCTCCTCTTCCTCCTCCTCCCCCTCCCCCTTCCCCCTCCTCTTCTGCCTCCTCGTCCGCCTCCTCCTCCGCCACCTGTCAAGCTGATCGAATGCTGTCCCCTCCGAAACAGAATCTGGGCAGGCTGCAGAAGGGGGCCCTAAATCTGGAATGGGACTCCCAAGAGCCTGAGCTGCGATCTAGGGGCCGAGCTTGCACTCAGGATTACAGCGGGGATGAGCTCCGCGAGTTCCTCCTCCTCCTCCTCCTCCTCCTCCTCCTCCTCCTCCAAGTCTCACCTCATCATTATCCACCCGAGCGCTCCCCCGCCGCGTCCTCCTCCCTCACCCCCCTGGGGCGCATGCGCAATCCTCACCCTCTGAGCCCTCACTCTTCTTCGCTTCCTCCCAACATTAAACTCATGATTCGCAGCTTCGACGGGAACCCCCAAGGCAGGAAAACATCAGTTCTGTAGTCGATCCCCGATTCGAAGGATGGAGGCCCCAGGATCCAGGATCGGAATCGATCCAGGATCGACCCGAGAGACTGCCGCCCCCCTCCCCACCCTCGACCTCCATCTTCCGAACCTTCCGCGCAGCAGGTGCCGACGCGGCGCGGCCGCGGCGACCGCCGAGACCGCCGCTGCGGCCTCGACGGCGGCCGCATCTGCGGCCGCGCTGGCGGCGGCCGCAGCGCGGCGTCTGCCGTCTGGCAGGTGCGAAAGGTGGAGGTCGAGGGCCCCCGAGAAGGCCGCCGCCAGGGGCGGGGCCGGGAGACGCGAAGGCGCGCGAGGGCCTTCGGGCAGGTCGGTGCGCAGCTCCGCGACGCCGCGGCGCACGGCGCCGCCCCACTCCTCGGCCTCGCGCGCGCGCTGCGGGGTCCCCCCGGGGCAGCTACCTCCTCCTCCTCCTCCTCCTCCTCCTCCTCCTCCTCTTTCTCCTCTTTCTCCTCGTCCTCCTCATCCTCCTCCTTCTCCTCGTCCTTCTCCTCCTCCTCCTCCTCCTCCTCCTCCTCCTCCTCCTCCTCCCCCTTCTCCTTCTCGTTGTCCTCCCCCTCGGTCCTCCCGACGGGACACCCACCGAATGGGCATATGCCTCTGTGGCGCCGCCAGCTCTCTGGAGCGGCGGCGCACAGTGGGGCGGCAGCGAGAGCGAGGGGGCCTCCTCTGAGCGGGCGAAGAGCGCTATGCAATACCGTCGGGCCTATAGGCCAGGAGAGCATCCCTCTCCAGACATGATCGCGTCGAAAGAAAAAAAGCAGGGCGGGAGGATTTGGGAGATTTTCGGCCTTGGAGGGCCCTCGCCGGGCCTCGGGACCGTCAACAAAAACGGCTTAGGATGAGAAACCGGTCCCGGGGAACGGGTTGGGACTTCCGGGGACCCCGTATCGAAAACATCAGGACGTCGCATGTCTGGGTCTGAGCGGGCGAAGAACGGTATGAAATAGAGTCGGGCCTGGGCCAGAAGAGCATCCCCCTCCAGAGCATGAGACCCTTCAGTCGGCCAACACAAGCAGAGCATCTAAGGGTACCCTCCCCAGGATGCACGAGAACATCCAAGACGCACGAACATCAGGGCACCCTCCCCGAACCGCCCTCGATCTTGTACCTCGGTCCGACTGTAAGCTGTTCCGTCACCGGGTGCGCCTGTCCCAAAGCGGCTGGAACAATTATACCCTGGGGTACCAACGTATGAGTATATAAACTGTCTGGCCGCCCTGGGACCGGCGTGCCCCCGACGACGGACAAGTTTCTCTCGCGAGTTCTCAGGAGGTGGCGGGGCTCCTCAGGAGCCCCCCCCGCTTTCCGAAAAATGGTCTGTGCCCTCGGGGAAGGCTCCAGCAGGGGATCGACTACAGAATTGCCCCCCTCAACAAAAAATCCGTTGCATCTATTTCCAGTAAGGATCCGACAGAAGAACAACAATGTTGGGGTAATTCAATGTTGTAGTCGATCCCTATTCTAGACAAGCGCGTTCCACTACCCGCAGAACTAACTGCTCGCAGATGGCCCGGATCCGCCGCGGGGGACTTACGACCCATTACATTGAGGCAAACATAGTTTTTCGGATTTCGGACGTTTGCGAGTGTACACTTCCCAGACATGCGACGTCCTGTTTCTTTCAGGACGGGGTCCATGGAAATCCCGACCCTTTCCCAGGGACCGGTTTCCATCCTGAGTCGTTTTTTGACGGTCCCGAGGCCCGGCGAAGGCCCCCCGATGCCGAAAATTACCAAAAACCTCCCGCTCTGATCTTTCCACGACGCGATCATGTCTGGGACTTTGCGAGTAGTGGAACGCGCCTGGTAATATTCGAAAGGCTCAGGCCGAGCCGTCTGAGAGGCCCGCCCCCTCTCACTATTCCCCCCCCCCCCCCCCAGGCGCGGCGCCGGCCCGAGATACCCCGGGCCCTCTCGCGCCTGGGGAGCAGAAAAATGGCAGGGCGCATGCGTCGTTTTTCGCTGCCTGTTGGGCGGCCTCTGAGGGGACCTCGCCAGGCCTCGGGGCCGTCAAACCACCCTCCTCCTCCTCCTCCTCCTCATCCTCCTCCTCCCCTCCTCCTCCCCCGGATCATTCCCCCTTCCCCTCCCCCTTTCCCTCCTCCTCCGGGACGAAGAACCGATCCCCGGGAAACGCACGGGCACAACTCCCAGGACTCCCGCATCGGTTTCCAACTTTTCTCGATGCTCATCTGCCCCCCCCACTTCCCATATTTTCCCATCTTCTCCTGGGAACCGACGGTTCTTTGTGTCCGTGTGTTTCTTTTCCTCCAGACCTTTGGGGGGCCCACGTTATGTCAACAATCGCGGCGTCAGCGAGATCTCGGGTGCTGCCGGAGGTGCTCTGATTGAGCACGAGAAAAGGAGGGTGCTAGGAGAGGGAGAGGGAGTGGGGCAAAAAGCTAGGTGTGCTCGCGCCACACCTGCCATCCGATCCCCTTCCTCCGAACACGAAGCTAGGACGAGGATAATATCGCAAGGGGATCATTGGAGAATCTTTGAGATCTGGCAATTCAAGAGGATGTCTCGGGCGCCGCGGCCTTCTCAGAGCG